CACACACACACACACACACACACACACACACACACACACACACCAAAAGAATTCGTAAGCTGCTACACTGGATTTTTTTTCTAATACCATTCTCTATTGAAGACCCGCTCAGGAAGTTTAGAAATGAACATGCTTATTTGAATATTACTACGTATAGATTTTTCATGACCCCATGGCACACAATTTAGATAATCTAAGGGGCAGGCTGCTCAGACCCTTTTTTGTAAGGGCTTCTCTGGGCTGAGAGAAATACAACGTTCCAGTCGAAAAACTGAGATGCTCGAAAAAAAATCGAGTTCACACCTTCCACGAGCGACTGTAAAGCACAAAATCGCTACACCACAGACGCCGGTATGGGTGTGCACCTGTCTTCATCTCACATTTACTAATAAAAATGATCTAATCTCCCACAGATTACAAGAAAAAAAACCCCAAATCCACGCGAGGGACCAGCCTGAGCTCTACTGAACAACAAGATTTTCAGACTAATCTGACAGTAAACCCAAGGAGTCACCAGGCTGTCTGATAACTACGAGTATAATGTGACTGATTTATTCACGATTACCTCTGGAGACCGAAAGAGGACAGAGACAGAAAAAAGTGTCGTTATCGAACACGCCTGGAGACCCTTAAGAAGACACAGATTTTTAAAAAACGCCATCTAGACGAACACTTAAGAAGACAGACAGAAAAACGTGGTAGTGGACACAGTTTACTACGTTGGAAGTGTTGTTAGAACACCCAACTACCAATTACAGAATTGTCTTGAAAGGTTGTTGTATTCTCAGTTCAAAGGATACCTGAAACTAAGAGGGTTCATTAGAAAGCTTACATCGGTCACGATCAAATACAAAAATCAAAGCTGATGGTGAAGTTTATAACTTTCTTCACACGAGAAGAGAGCAGGAAAAAAACTTCTCACATCACGTGTTGTGAGGTAGAAGAGGTCGTCCGTGTTCACAAAAGCGCCAATAAAACATCGGAGTTTTAGTGTGATTTTAAAAAAATAAGTGAAACAAATTTTTTTTTCTTATGCGCCTTATGGAAGCAACACCTGACAAACTATTTCAAGACAGAATTAAAAACAATTCGCATTTGTCGCGGGCACTGCTGAGCATATGGTCAGGTAATTTAAAGTGAAGCAAGTGGGAAAAAGGAGAAAGTAAGTCTAAGGGGACCAAGACAGACAGAGATTTCGTTTCAATAAGACAATTGCAGCACTTGTAACACAGGTCATATAAGTCCAAAGGATTCGAATGTTACAAAAGAGTAATACATATATAAAGAAAATAAGGAGGAGAGATAAGTATGATATATTTGTGAAAGGAAAGAAGGAGCAAACCACACCAGAGTACAGCAGTGAATGGTCAATAAAGCACAATGTATTTTTTCAGTGTGTACGGTTGGCTGGTACTCTATTGCAATTCGTTCTTTAAATTTCATATCTGCTATCAAACATCTAGATCGTTCACATAATTATCTCTCATCTTTCTTTTTCTTCTATTGCTTTCTAGTAAAACCTCTAGTCTTTGGCATTTATTTGTCCTATTTGTGTTGCAATTGCCTTAAAACTCTTACTAAAACACCTGTTTTTTCAGTAAAAGTTTATGTCTTATAGTACACGACGCGCCAGTTGAGCTGGCGCAGGGTACCACTCGGTTGTTTACAGTCGTAACAATGCCTCTACCGAGCATCAGGAAATTCATCTATCTTTAATCAAAATGTACGTCTACTGCTAAAATAATTCATTTCTACCCAGCTTGAGGTTGTTCTTTGTTTTTGTTGTTTTGTTGTTGTTGTTGTTGCTTTTTGGGGGAGGGGTTGGGGGGTATGGTGTGTTGTTGTTGTTTTTGCTGTTGTTGTTTTGGTTTTTTTGCTGTTGTTGTTTTCTTTTTTGTTTAAATGTAATCAGGTTAAACAGGCGTAGATTTACAGGGAGGCTTGTGATGGTGAAAACTTAGTTGACAAAATAAGCTGCGTACAAACTTTAGGTAGTCGCCATTACACGTAGACTTAGAGTTAACTCTTGCTACAAATTATGCAAATGTCATAGTTTGTGGTTACGACACGCGCTGGGGGTGTTTTCAATAAGTCTCATCACATCAACGAGATACATGTTTAAGACAACGGTATGTAGTATGTACTCATGTTTGCTTATTTTCTTTATGGAACAAAGAATTCAGCAACAAAGGCCTGTTGCTCCTTGTCATAACCTCTCATCTCTCTCTCTCTCTCTCTCTCT